CTACTTTTCTTTCCCTTGCTATCTGGATAGCTTTGAATCTTGTTTTAAAATAGTTATATGTGAAGTTAATCACATAATCTAAATCATATTTGCATGAATGATTAGGAGTTCTTTGCCTTAGTTTGAAGATACAATCATGATCATCCTGGAATAAGTCCTCCTTTGCTTCAGAAACCTAGGTTACAGAACGGCTACTCGGAACCCCTTGATAAGTGTGTTTTAGCATGCTGCAAATCCTATTTATTCCTGGTGACCTAGTGACTCATTAAAGCAACTTTTCTCCTATCACATCTTTGACTCCTGAATTCTCCTCAATTCAGAATTGGTACTTTGGTTATTGGGGTTGTTTTTCTAGAGGGCTAGAGACCTATACAGCACAAGCATTTCCCCATCCTGCCCATACATATTTTCTTGTCGTGTATATATGTATGTGTGTGTATGCATGTGTTTGTGTATGTATATATGCATGGCAGATTCTACCCATCTGTCAAGTTTAATTTGAAAGAGTAAAATGAAATATGTTACCATGGCAACATTGAAGATGCATTTAATGGAATGATGCAGTCTAGATTTATTGAACTGTATTAGCAAAATCTTCAGTGGGTGGTGCTTTGTTACAAGCATAAGTAACAAACACTATTTGAACTCAGAGGGTTTGAATTCATTTTTATAGAATTTCAGAAAGTAGGTCATCCTCAACCATCTTCTAGTCTGTATCCCAAATCCATCAGTTTCTAGAGATCAGCCATATAAATGCAGTAATCTCTGAGCAAAAGAAGACCTAGACTATGGCAAAGAGCCAGGGAATAGCATCTCTTTAAAATGTAATTTATGAGGGAACAACACCTTGACTTGAAGGGGATCGATAGGTAGTGTTTATGGTATGTGAGCGTAAGTAAGCAGTAAAATGGAAGTAGTTCCTGTTTACAACCATAGCAATTCTAAAGTTATAGGTAGGGACCTACCGAAATTGCTGTTTCATGGAAATCTTGAAATCCGACATTGCCTGTGAAATTGACACAGCAGTTGGCGAAATCCACAAATAAATAAATAACATTAAAAAAAAGAAAAAAATCTTACGGTAATAAAATCCTGACTCCCCAGAAGGAACCAGCAGTCCTCATGGCACTGTAGCCCATGAGAAGTGAGTGGGGCTGCCGGCATGAAGGGGAGCCCAAGATGGCTGTTGCCCTCATTCCTCACAGCTGGTTAGAAAAGAAGGTTGCCTGTCATGTGGCCATGCCCCTCCCCCAATTGGTGGCAGAGCCACATAATGGACAGCCCTCAATTGATCAGTGGTGAGGGGGTAGGATCGTATGACAGATGGCCCTTGCAACTTATCAGTGGCGATGGCCAAGGGCCCCGGTGGCCCCACCCATCAGAGGTGTGGGGGTGCCATGGTGTGATCAGCCTACAAAAATGGTGGCTGGCCCCACGATTCCTCTGTAAAATCAGCTGGCTGCCTCGAAATTGGGTAGACCCCAAGTTATAGGCATTTCTTGAAAGAAACTGTGGGATCCAAATGGAATGCTACCCTCTTCTGTATTGTATGGTGATATATGACATAATTGTCTTAAGGTACTGGTAATGGAATAAAGTTTTTTTTCTGGTGAAAACTGGCTTAGTTTGGTAATAACAGAAAGATTATTTGGTGATTTCAATTATATGGGAATTGCATTCACATTTCTAATAGAGAGATGGTCTTGTATGCTGAAAACCTTACCATTGCAACTGGATGATTAGTATTCTTATTAGGGATATTGTGGTAAGGATAGAGTAGGTGTTGTTCTAATCATTTAACAATGGAGTTGGAAGTTGTTATGGAAAAATATGTCCCTAATTATACTGTGCCTGTGGATAACTTTTTTTTTCCCCTAAAGCTTTCAGAAATGTATAACTTTAAAATATGGCTTTGACTGCTCGTTATGGAACTTTACTTTACTTTTCTGATTCTTTTCTAATTCTTCTTTTCTGATCAGTATAATTTAATGTTTGCAAGAGGGACTTCTAGCAGCAATGAAAGGAAAAACTAATGTAACCAGAATGGAACATAAATTATAAATTATTTCTTGTTAAAACTAATTTCAGAGTCTGCACCAAGCTCTCCCAGAATGGGAAGTCCATTAAGTCCAAAGACAAGTAGTGAAACCAGTAACCTTCAAACAATGTCTAAAGGATTGTCTACAAGTCTGCCAGATCTTGACTCTGAACCTTGGATAGAAGTAAAAAAGAGACATCGTCCATCAACAGTTAAATTAAAGGTAGCATAAGTTATCTTGATGAATGTGTTAAAAAATGTCTTTCATTTTGGGCATATTTTTTTGGACTTCAAAAAGTACAGGGCTGTTTATGGAATGAGAGTGTAGATACCTTGATATGAACATTACTAAGGCAGTTGAAGATGACTGTAGTTTCTATGAAATGACTAAACAAAACTTGGATCATAAAGTTGGTCATGATGTTATTAAAAGAAGAGCTTTTCATATTCTAATGATGGTTGCGCTCAATTGTATGATATATTTAATATAAAAAATACTCCGTGAAATAGAAATTTAAATGCAACTCTCTTTTTATTTTAAAAATATTTAAAAGGCCAAACTGCTGTTCATTTTGGAAATGGGCCTAATAGCCCAAATTGGTGCAGTAGAAGATGAATGGGTACTCACTGAGAAATATTCTGCCTTATGGTGTGAGAGAATTTAGTCTTAAAAGATAGTGTCAGGATTTTCTATTACCTTTAGTGCTGTGGTTTTCCCTTTTTTTAATAAGCTTAAGAATCTTTGAAAGTAGATGGAGGTTAGGTAACTAACAGTTATTCATGCTTGGAAAGTGTCACTCATGATTTCACTATTCTCTTCTGTTTAGTTAAACCTCTCATTTAAAAGAAGCATTGAAGTAGTAAGATAAATATATTTGTTTCTCAATGGAAAAGTCAAGCACTTTTTTTCCTCATGCAGGAATCTGCACCTGCACTTGATCAAACAACAAATCAGCAAAAGCAGCCCCCACCTCGAGAGGAACAAGAGCAAGAAGAGCTTGACTTTTTATTTGATGAAGAGATGGAACAAATAGAAGGTCGCAAAAATAAGTTTACAGATTGGTCAGACAGTGATTCTGATTATGAAATTGATGACCAGGATGTAAACAAGATTTTGATTGTAACACAGACACCGCCTTACATGAGAAAACATCCTGGTGGAGATCGTACTGGTAATCACGTGTCTCGTGCAAAAATTACATCAGAACTTGCTAAAGTCATTAATGATGGTTTATACTATTATGAACAGGATTTGTGGATGGAGCAAGGTGAGATCGATTCAGCAGCTATGAAGGTAATTTGTTTTAGTTGCATTTAAAAAGTTAAAAAACCTAAAATGAATATTGATCACCTAGCATGTGTCAGCTATCCAGGTTGTAGCTGTATCAGTCTAGAGGCAAAAGGAATCAAAACAGGTGATCAGCGTTGCTCACCTGGCATTTACGCTATTAAACTAATTGGGGGTGAGGGGTAAGAATTGACAGTGTATATCAGGGTTGCCAGTTGTTTGTAAATTCACAGACAGTCTGTCTTTAAAAAAAAGTGGGTGGGGTGGGAAGAAGGGTTATCCATATAAAAAAAACAAAACCCAAAAAACAAACAAAAAAACGCCCAACAAAACAAAACAGCTAGGAAAACATAGGCTTGATTGAAGATCTGTCATCAGAATGAGGCTGGATGCAAGAAGTGTGGAGGGACAGACAGAGCAGGGCAACATTACCTTGTGTCTGAGCAAGAGCACAGCACCCTGCAGGGAGTTCTAAAGGCCTTGTAACCCGTAGGAGACCCTGAGGCCCCATTCCTCACCTCCTAGCCATGTGCTGCAGCTTCATTTGCCTGTTTTGCCTGTAATGGCTGCTTGTCTCAAATGTAGGCATGGTTGCACAGCCCCACACAGTCTAAGGCACCAGGCAGGAAGGACATGGGTGGCTGGGAAGGAGCTATGGAGTTAGGAGGGAGAAATTACTACAGTATAACTTCATAAAACCAGATATCAAAAATCTGGAATTCTGAAAAATCCAGCACATAGGGGAGTAGAGGCAGCAGGTCCCAGAGCAGCAAAGGGCGAGGCAGCAGCCAGTCCTGGAGCAGTGGAGGGGAAAGCTTGCACATGGCAGCTGCCGCTGCCATCCACCAGCCTATGGTGCTGCTCCGCATGTAGCCACTGCTTCGGTTTCAAAAATCTGGAATTTTCAGATTTCTGGCAGGTGCTCGATCCTGAGCATGCTGGATTTATGAGGTTATACTGTACTGCCAATACTAGTGCATGACAGTGTTGATGTTTGAATGTATAGTCACAAATAGAAGGATTCTGAGGATGGTTAAAATAATTCTTAGTTGCAGTTCTTAGTTGTGTGTATCCTTTGTACTTTTCACTTCCTTGATACAACCCTGCTTGTATTCTGTAGATTCAGCTTTGGTTATGTTCTGCTATGGTGACTGTAATCCTGCTTTGCATACTTTTCCTTAATATACAAGTTGGGAGGTTTGAGGGTTACGTGTGCCTGTATTAGTGTTTATGGGCCTAGGTTTTATTGTTTGGGATTTTCTTTGGGCTGTGTAGGTGGTAGAGCTCCTAGACAACACCTCTGGGTGAGTCTCCTTTCACAATGGACTGGTAGCTCCCCCGGGCTGGTTTGCTAGTGACTGAGACCATAAAATGTTTGGATATGCTTAAAGTTTAACAACTAAGGTTTTCTCTGAGGTTCTATTTATTCCTCCCCCTCTCCCTCCAGTAAATCCTGTTTCAGTAGAGTGTTGCTTATATATGGGGAAATGTGTTCACTTTGGAACACCCAGTTAAAATTCCCAGGTTTCTGGGTGGGGGCCCAAGCCAGATATAGTTTATTATTAAACTCCTACATTTGAACTCAGCCCTTGCTATTGCCATCCAGGGCTTGGGAGAATGGTTACATTCACATTATGTATAATGTATGTCAGTAAAAAATTTGCACACTCAGTAAAGAAAGAAGAAAATTCTTGGGTTGGTGACCCCAGTGTACATAAAGGTGTTGGAATTTTTTTAATGTTAACTTGTGATTATGACATAAATACTTAAAAGTGGAACTGCATATCATCTGTCAGGCTTCCTATTATAGATGCAAAATAGCAGAGGTTGCGAGATAAATTCAAGATAAAAATATCCTTTCAACCACAAACTGACCTAAACCAGTGAAGCAATATTTGGTTTCAACTTCGTTTTATATGAATTGCTTGGGTAGTGTTTAATTTCTTTCTAAAGTAGGTGATTAGATTTTTTTTTCAAGTGCTTTCTTGTGCTGTACAGAGCTTGCCTTTCAGTTTTGTTATTTTGTGGGGAAGATGAGAAGAATTATCCTTTCTCCAAAACAGGACAAAAAAGGAGCTCTTATAAAAGTGAAGATTTTGCTTGAAATTAGTTGTATTGTGAATGTTTTCTGTTTCTTTAAATATAAATAACTTGTGAGTACAAAAGATTGAACAAGTAAAATTCCAGTTTTAATATCCACGACTTCATTTTTGCTTAGAGACAGCTTTAACTGTTGATGCATACAGGTCTGTGAAACTGAAAGTAGCCTGTTGATGCTCAGTCTGGATTCCATATTTTGGAATATATCTGAAATGACCCAAGTCTCTATTGTAAGCATTTCAAGGGTTATTTCAAATTGTGGGGTTTTTTAATATGGAAGGGGGAGAGAAAAGGAAATGGGTAAATGGAGAGAAAAGAGGAGAAAGCAAAAACAAACTGTGTGAAAGTGTCTTCTGAGACCATTAGGGAAGAGCAAGAAATAAGTGGGGTTCAGAGCAGTGGGTGGATTATTAGGAAGGAGTTGGGTCTGTAGACAGAACGACAGTAAACTGGAATTGAGCAGTTGAAAGAATACAAGAATGATAAATGTTTTCTTCCAATCTGTCCTTTAATTATTCTTATTTCCATGGCTAGGACTTCTGAAAGTCCTGAGGTCCCACCCCACACCTCCCTGCTCCTGTCATTTGTTAATTTGAGGTGCCTTAAAGGAGTGTTGCTTTAACACCGGTCCTCTGGAAAAAACAGGCCTTTTTAAAGGCATCTTAACTACTTCAGGAATACGTGGACCATTTCTTGAAAATCTTGGCTTTATTTTTCTATTAAAAGAGGAAGTAGTCATTTTTTCTCTCCTTATTCCAACACTGACAAAACTCTTTTGAGCATACCTTACCACAGAGGAAAGGAAAGGCATCTTAGCAGTTTAGGCCTCTTGAATAATCTTGGGCAAGTCACTTAATCTGTCTGTTCCCCAGGTATAGATTTAATTGCTTTTCTAGTTGTTATGAATTACACTATCTCACACACTTCATTTCTTGTGTTGGCTCTTGTGTATAGGACTCCTTGCATCCCTCTTTCCTCCTGAAAAGCAATGAGAAAAACTTGTAATTGCATAAGCTCAATTCTGAATGAATTCTGGTTCATGTTTTGTGTTGATGTACTTCTGTGTCTATGAACTTGTATCATTTCTGAGGCTAACATAATAGACGATGGTACTACATATGTATTTTTTTTTCTTTAAACTCAGCAAGAGGTTGAAAACTTTAAGAAGCTTAATCTCATTAGTAAAGAAGAATTTGATAATCTTGCACCTGAACCAATCATTGATCCAAACCAGGAAGTTCCTCCAGGGCCTCCAAGAGCACAGCACGGTATATATGTATTCTTTCTTTATGATTTCAGGCAAGTGCCTGTGCTGAAGAAAATATTTGCATGCTCTCTAGTGAGAATTGTCGATATTCTGGATAGTTTATTGAATCAGAAGGAGCAGACACAAACTGACGAGTCTATTTCGAAGTATGTGGATCAGTCTTGATAACCATGAGCAAAAGTGTTCAGATGTTTCACTGTTACTGCGCACCACAAGAAGGTCTTCGGTATGACATGAAAATTATAACGTGAACATGATGGTAGTTCGTGAAGCGAGGCATTTATTTCCTAGGGACCAGAGATCTTAAGCAAAATAGTTTAGAATCCAAAGACTTTTCATTTGAAATCCGTATCACATGCAGGCAATAACAGCATTTGAATTTTTCCTGATATTGCTTATACCAGGGTTGGGCTAGAGAGCCACTTAAGAAGTTTTGGTGAGCTGTTGAGGGCAGGGGGGGAGGACACCAATTGATCTTATCTGGCCTACCAGCCACTGTTGGGAGCCTGAGGAGGGAGGGCTATGCCATGTGCCACACCACTACACTCTGCCACAGCCAGCGTTGGGCTGGGCTGTTCAGTGCACAGACTCCTCTGCCCTATCCCAGCTTCCTGTTGCCACTGCCAGTCCTGGCACTGCAGCTGCTGTCAGCAGGGCTTGCACGGGATGAGGTGCAACATAGTGTGCCAAGTAGCTGTCCCGTCTCTCGCTAGGATGAGCTGCTTCCCCGAGCCGAGCCCCTCCATGGCTGTTACAGACTAATGGTGCCACAGCAGCTTATTGTGACAGGTGGATGGGGGGGTGGCCACTTGGCAAACTGCATTGCACTGCATCATGTGTGGGCTTGACTGCTGGCAGCTGCAGTGCCCAGACTGCATGGTTGTAGTGTCAACAGGAAGCGTGGTGGGTGGGGGGGTATAGAGGAGTCTGCATGGCCCAACCTGGCACCAGCTGTA